GCTAGAGCAGAGCTGGAAAGGCAAATTAGAGATGAAATGGCTGAGTTAGAAAAAAGAATTTACAGCCTAGCTTCAATAAACAGCATTAAAGCTTCAAACACTACTACCTCGTCTTCATACATAACCGAACCAAGCCACATTCAAATCCCAGTTTCACAAAACTATACTAGCAAGACCCTGAAGTCACCCACGTTTGACGGTCAAACAACATGGAAATCATATCGACTCCAATTTGAAGCTGCAGCTAGAGCCAATGACTGGACCGAGAAAGAAATGGCGGCTTCATTGATAGTGTCACTGCGAGGTCAGGCAAGAACCGTTTTACAATTACATCCCTAAGAAGAACCCAGTTATTCATCTCTCGTCCGAGCTTTGGAGACAAGATATGGCCAGCAGCATCTGCAACGGGTATTCCAAAGCCAGCTAGTCAGAAACATAATGAGAGTCTACAGGAATTCGAGGCTAATATAAGAAGGTTGATTCGTCTGGCCTATCCACAGGTGACGAAAAATTTCTTAGAACAAATCGGCATGCAAGCATTCATTGCTGGATTACAAGATGTGGAAATGCAGCAAGTCCTACGTCTACAACATCACAAGACGCTTAGGGAGAAACTGATTGCAGACCAGGAATATGAAGTGGTAAAACTCCTATCCAGATCTTCTCGCGCAAAAGTGCGGGACATTAAGTCCCAGGAAAGTGAGGAGGCCAATACTAATGCTATTCCCCAAATCTTAAATATCCTACGAAATATGCAACGAAACAGCCAAAATGTAAGCAGGAGATGCTTGAATTGCGGAAAAATCGGGCATCTTCAAAGAACCTGTAGAAGCATGGCTCATTCTATAAATCGAAAATCAGCGAATGAGACCGGAAAATCGTATAGATCAATCTTTCCAAGCCCATCACTAAGACCAACAAGAATTAATTACAGCAGCTATGTGTCCCGAAGAAGCCAATCACCCATACCGAGCTGGCTTTCTAACAATAACCAGAAAGTAGAGCATCGAAGAGGTCTCCATAGCAACGCAGACATTCTCTTCGGGCAACCCCAATTAGAGGAACAATGCTGGTATGGTTAAAGGCTCGAAGAACGAGAAGAACCGGTTGATAAAGTTATTCTTCGGGCTACCACTATCAAGCCAGAGGGCAACGAAGAAGAAATCACATTTAAAAGTCTGAGAAGGGACAGAAGAAAGACAAGCACTTAAAGGTTGTCCGAGAATGGCTCAAAAATAAAGTCACACCTACTTGGAAAGAGATAGCCAAATACAGTGGAACTATAGAAGGCTACTGGACCCAGTGGAATTCCCTGTATCTTCACGATGGCCTATTGGACCGGATGTGGGAGAGCCCCGATGGAGTACATGTAGTCCGCCAAGTGATACTGCCGAGGTCACAGGTGAGAAAAGTATTGGAGGAGCTTCATAGCAGCCATTCAGGAGGACACTTTGATACTAAAAGGACACTGGCACGAGTTCGGAAAAGATTTTATTGGGTCAATTACCGACGGGATGTAGCGTATTGGTGTAAAAAATGTGATGTATGCAATGGCAGGAAAAAGGTCGATGGATAAAGCAGAAGCTAGAATCGACAGGCGTGCCACAGATACATATTTTGAGAGGGGCAACAAGGTATGGCTGTGCAATCCCAAGCAGCGAGGAAGACTTCGTCAGAAAGCGGAACTGGGAAGGCCCCTACTCCGTCCTTAAGGAAAATCAATGACCTGATCTGCCGCATTCAAGTGTCAGCGGACAGTAAACTCAACGTAATTCACATTGGAAAACTAGCTCTATACCATGGTCCAGATCCTCCCCGTTGGCTCCAACCAGATCCCAGTAATCAAGTTATTCGGGGCGAATAACTAGAAAGGCAGGAGAAATGTTACGCAGCACCCTGCAGTATCCTGCGGCTATCATAGGAAACGTACAGATAGAAAAAGAAGTGGAATGTTACTCATCGCTCTACAGTGTGCTGCGGTCGTTATAAGTAAAAGTACAAGTGAAAGAAGATAGAATATTCCAGAAATGTCATCACCCGTCAAGAATATTCTAGACGACAGTTCGAGAAGGTTCGAGAAGGTCAAGTAGGCTATATAAGTCGACGACCTGACGTCAGTGGGGAGTTTGATGATAGACGTTACATATTAATGTTGTCAGTTGTATAAATGTTGTTAAAGTTGAGTTGAAATAAATTGTGATACCAAAAACCTGTGTAACAATATATTTGATAGTCCATTAATATGACTTCAATGTCTCTTCAAGCTGTCTCTTCAAGCTGTCTCTTCAAGCTGTATTGCGAGCATTAGTTATTCGATCATAAAAAAGTTGTGCTTTTCGCAAGTGAAACTCTTTTTTGGCATCAAGCTTTTTAACTTCTGCTTCACCTGTGTGGCCTTTCTCAGCAGCTTCAATTTTCACCAAAAACTGATCACCCTGACTGCACGTGTTGGATCTAGAATATCCAAATCTAATATTAAAATAATCCCGAAATATAATTATATTATGCTTTCTAATCTGGAAAAGATCTTTGAACATCCTGTTCATCTTTTAAATGTTAAGTGCCTCTAAAAGATATGACCTGTTTTCATTGTCCTTCAAGGTTTAATGATTTTACCTTGTCTTAAGCGAGTGGACATCCCAATATCACGAAAGTATGCCTAGAGCTATACTGATAATTGATAACACTTTAGTGTCGCCATACCATACAGGTGTGATAATGTCCAGTTTTTGAGACCATCAACGACTAATCTTTGTAGGTTAACAGTTTGTGGAGTGCTTGTTGCAACCAAGCCTTTATAGAGGAAAAAAGGCCAATTCAATACTGAGATACGGACTTGGGGATTACCAAAATCCTATAATGAGATACCAAAAAGAAACCAAATTGGAAAAAGATGATAACTCTACATCTTCAAATCGGTTGGCTCACCTTGATCTTTCTAACTTTCTAATTCTTACTTTAGGGAGTTCTGCACTACCTTCCTTATCTGCAATTCCACTTTCTTACATATTACAGCTGAAGAAACCGAATCAAACCTGTACAGTTACCATCTCTATGAAATTTATTTTCTTTTACTCATAAGTTTGAGAATACTAATTTTTTTTGGGATTTACTTGTATCATAACAGTACATATTATTAGTTTAACGAAATTTCAGAAACATACCTACATACAGATATACGAAATTTCCATTAATTTCTTCCTAATTCTATGTCCTATATACTTATACATAAAATTGAAAGATTTTGGAAAACTATTGCACCTGTCAGCACTTCCAGTCTAATGCACCTTCTGTTACCTACGTTACAACAAAAAAATTAAGTGAACTCCTTCACTCTAACATTCTACATTCAATATGATTGCCAAGCGATTTGCTCGAGGCGGATCCTTAGCCACAACTATTGTGGAAAACTCGGCCGATTTACATCACAAGCGTACCTACCTGTATTGATTTAGCTTCGGGGGATTTCCCAGAAAAGTTTTACAGACGACTGAATACAAATTCCAGTCCGTTTTCTTGAAATTCTCACACGCTTTTTTCGCGGAGTGAATGCCTCGTCGCTAAGTTCTTTTATAGGGCGGCGCATGAGAAGAAAACTTTCTTTTCTTTTGTTGAAAATACGCAATACATTTTTAAAAATAGATAAATAGATAAAAAGTATGTTTTTTTTTTGTTTTAAATCTACGGTCACATCTTTTAAATAATTAATTAGGTAATGATTATAAAAAAAAAAACTTTATTCTGTTTTGTTTTTCTCCATTTTTTCCATTTACACTCACATAAAGACTCCCAGTGCCCCACAAAGAGACTGTTTATATATTGATATATATTTGATTCCTTCTGGGACCTTCAATGAATCACAAACTGTTGCTAATGCATTTTACTGTACAATATTGATTTTTTTATTTTTTTTATAAATATACATATTTTTAGATAGTTCAAAACTCTAAATATTGTGTATTAGAACAACTTGAAGGTTTACCCCATAAAATCCCTTGCTGAAATCCGTAAATGAATAACTATTAAACATAGCGATTATTATTGCTCCTAAATTATAACCTTATAGTACACCTGAGTAGATGATGGGTCACATTGGAACACTTTTAAAACTATGCATGCGTGACAATAGCTCTGAAGTTGGCTTACCTAAAATATATGTTAACTGTCAAACTATAGACATATGTCATATATCAACAGTAATGTCAACCTAACCTAATATGTCAACTGTCATCTTCTACAGTGTTGTATTCTAATCTAAGCTAAACGAAACCTTAATGTCGTCTAACATGACTAATAGGGCGTGAAACATGTGTCAACTGTTAAAATGTTGACTTAACTAATGGGATCCAAGCTGGCAGCCCATAGGTAAAGAGAGCGCAGTAGTAAAGCCAAAAGGTCCAAATCTATATCTCGGCTACTATTGTTCCGATTCAGCTGAGAAAAATAGGGGAGAGGAGGAAATTACATGTAGATTAACCTCAAAGAGAAACATCACGCGCACAGCCAAAACGGCCTTAGTCTATATCTCCGCTGGTATTGGTCTAATTCAAACGGAAGAAACGGTGTTGTGAAGGAGACGTGACGTAGATTATCGTTGGAAACAAAAACCAGTAGCAGTAGCAATGCCAAAAGAACATATTCATTGCTATTGGTCCAATTCAGACGCAAAAAATGGGGGAGTAAGGGAAATTACATGTAGATTAATGTTAAAGAGAAAAATCACTCGCTTAATGATGCTTAGTACTGGGACTTACTGATACATACTGGAACATAGGGCGTATTTCCAGTATGCTATATTTTGTTAGAAATTTGAATTTTAACTTATATGTCTATTAAGAGTGACCTGTCAAAGAGTACCGCCATTTTCTATCACAGCAAGCAAGGAAGTCGTAAAGTTAGTAGAAAACACAATTATTACTTTCTAGCCAAACATTTAAGTAAAATCCAAATAAAGTGTTGTAAATTCAAAGAAATTCTAAGAAATTCAAATAATATCAAAGAAATTTGAAGAAATTTAAAGAAATTCGAAAAAATTCGAAGACTTCGAAGAAATTCGAAAAAATTCGAAGAAATTCGAATAAATTCGAAGAAATTCGAAGAAATTCGAAGAAATTCGAAGAAATTCGAAGAAATTCGAAGAAATTCGAAGAAATTCGAAGAAATTCGAAGAAATTCGAAGAAATTCTAAGAAATTCTAAGAAATTCTAAGAAATTCTAAAAAATTCTAAGAAACTCTAAGAAATTCTAAGAAATTCTAAGAAAATAATAGCATTGTCAACAATGCCAATGCTTTGCTGCTGCCATGTTAAAATGATACAAAGGGGAAACCAACATCCAAAAGCTTAGGACTAAGTGACAAACATAAATCGCGTCGAGATCCTTCGTTTTCGTTCATTATCGTATCGTCGTTGACTTCGTTGGATATTAATAACAAATTAAATATTAAAAATAAATACTTTTGGTGCATTATCGTTTTTTTATACATCTGTACTGATACCTATATTCTGTCACTGTGAACCCCCAAAATTTTTATAACAACCCGCCACTGTATGACATCTATCATCTGTCAATTAAAAAAATTTGCACACACCTGTTCCTTAATTATTGACATTTTATTATTTAGTTTCGGTATTTAATAATAATAAATGTTTTTATTGGCCAAACTAAGTGACTATTACAAAGAAAGAAAAAAAATATGAACACAAATAGTTTGCCAAATGGCAGAATTTAAAATATCTTATGAAAATCAGAGTTTTCCTATTCCACTAAACCAGTTTGTACATATTTTTGCATTACTAACATAACTATACATCTTCTGTTTTTCAGACTGTCAACCAAAAATATGACATCTGTCAATAAATCAATTACTATTCAATAAAAATCCCACTCATTAGGTATTTCTTAATTAGAAAGCAACAATTGATATTAATACTCGCTAATTGTATATTAAAAAAAATATTTCTGTACATTTTTCGTCTTTTCAACCTAAAAACTTGACATCTGTCATTTAATCTGTGTGATTTTCCTTTTCACCGTTAATCTACATGTAATTTTCTACCCTTCTCCGTTTTTTCCAGTCGAATCGGACCAATAATGGAGATATAGATTTAGGCCTTTTGGCTTTACTACTGCGCTCTCTTTACCTATAGGCTGCCATCTTGGATCCCGTTAGTTAGGTTGACTAACATTTTGAGAATTAATACCTGTTTCACGCCCCATTAGTCAGGTTAGATGACATTAGGTTTCCGCTTAGCTTAGTTTAGAACACATTTGACATATGTTAGGTTGGCAACACTGTTGACAGATGACAGTTGACATGTTAGGTTAAGTTGGCAACAATTTTGACAGATGACAGTTGACACATGTTAGGTTAGCCAACTTTTTAGCTATTGTCGTGCATGAGCAGTTTGAAAAGTGTTCCAAAATGACCCATTATCTACTGAATTAAAGTGGCTACGTATTTTGTGATAACCCATCATGCTTTACAAATTAAGCGAGCGCATCAAAATTAAATAGTTCTATACAGCGAATGTAAATGCGATGGCAGCCCCATGCGCTAATTTTTTTATCATTAAAAAGTGATCAATTTTATTGAAACCTTTTTAAAATCTATGTAACATCTATGAAGCTTATTTTGTTTGTGGCAGAAGCATTAATAATGACATACAAAATAATTTTAATCAATTTGTGATAAAGTGCATTTATGAATTTGCCTATTACAAATTAAATTTATACATGAAATACATTTTTAGATAGAGATAATAATATCGAAATGTTTCTTTTGAGTCACATCGAATGATTCACCAACCCACATAAACCTTTTTTCTAAATTATTTCCTACGCTCGTGAACCCTTAGATTCTCCTTTCAGGTGGAGAAGAGGAATATTATTAGAGTGATTGAATTTTGAGAGGTGAAGGCACAATAGTTGCTTTTTCGTTTCAAAAAGGTCATGTTTTATTTATTTCAAACACCTGAATGGAGAAAAATGAAAACTTCACAAAGAGAAAGTATGCCTTTTGCAATAATATCGGATTTAAGAATGATAAAGTAACAGTAACACCACTAGGCAGTTCAGGACTAGCGTTTACTCGGAGCTTCAATCGCTTGGTTTAAATTATTTACAATATTTGGTTATGATCATACCAAGAGGTAAAAAAGGACAAATAAGATAAACATAGTGTGTCGTCATCAGGTTTTCAAATGGTAATACCATCATCTAATATTACCACTGAATAGTTCGTATTATATATTTCACTAGAAATTTGTAACTATTTTGAGCATTCTTGTTAATTTTCCAACAAAGCTAAAAATCTGCATTTTTGCCTTACCCTATGTACTTATTTAATTTCAAAAATCTAAATCCTATTTAAATACTTTTTAACAAAAAAAATTTCGTAACATTTATTTACATAATGGCAACACAGGCATTTGCGTTTGGTGACATCCCTAAGACTAGATAGTGTTGTCATTTATACGTAACATGGATGATTTAATTTTGAAGGAACCGAGGCCTCCAAGATATCCCACAACTAATGCAAATAGGACAGAGGTTTAGATGTAATGATTATTATTTCTGGGTTGTTGAATCCTTCTAATAATAGATTGTCCTGAATATTCCTGCAGATTACTTCGGGTGTTTCTGGATGATTACATTTTGCAAATGTGTAGTTTAAGTTCTTTAATAATTCTGTTTAAAGCAGAAATTTTGCGTTATTGATTTTAAATTTGTAAAATAAATGATTCTAAAATAATCTTTAAGAGGAAAATTTACATTACAAACTGAAAGACTTGCAGGGCAACGGTATTTTAGTAATACCACAAAATTACAGATAGGTAATAATTTTTTTATATCTCTCAATGTCGGGTATAAGAAGATATATAGAAAAAATTAGTATTCAATATTGTCTAGACAAAAAATATAATGTTCATATTACATATATTGATAATTTTTTCGTGGATTCTGATGATTTCTTATTCGATCATTTCCCAATAAATATAATTTTAAATTATAATATAAAGGATTCTTCTATTCCGCTCTCTAGTAATAGCATTATTACTAATGAATCTCTTATCTGGAAAAAGACTTTCTTCTAAATTATAAACTTGTTATGTGCAGTTCTGACAAGGTGACATTTTTAACTGAGGTAAACAACTGTTGTGATAATTTTTGCGATGCTGTTTATGAAACTGTAAAAATTTAAGGTTTAATAAAAACAATCTACAGCCACTTAAATGCTAATCATAAGAATAAACCTTGGTTTGACAGTGTATGTGTTGATGCAAAAAAACAACTTGTAACACCCTTTTCTTCACCCCTAAAAATAAAGAAAAGGGTTGGGGTGGCGCTAGGCTGTTCTTCAAACAAGGGTTGCTTAGGCGCCAGTTTTGGTAACGCAGGTTACTCTGCGGCCCTGGGGTGTACCTAGAGTACACCCTCAGCAGACTCAGTGGAGTCCAGGTACAAAAAAAAAATAAAATGACCAGACCTTCACTGCTTACTTGACCTACACTGGGGTAATAAAATAAAGGTAAAAATAAAATTTCGCACTGCACTTTTACCTGCTAATAACTAACCTCTGAAAACGAAAAAAGTAAAGGGGTATCTCAAAATTCAACTCAGGAATTGAAACCAAATATATATTTACAAAATAAAATAAATAAGCAACAAATAAAATAAATGGAACCTAGGTGAAATCACACCACCCGGTATATATAATAACGGTAAAAATATAGACGAAACAAATGTGTTGGTGTCAACAGAAAAGTCCTATAACGGTAAAATTAACTATGACTTATACTATACTCATGAGAAAATAAAAATAATAATTTTCTTTAAAAAAATAAAACGGTGGGCAGTAACACCCTTAGCACAAATTCTTCCCTACTAAAGAAAACAACCGGTTCAAGTAGTAAGACAAAAAAAAAATCTACAACAGTAAAATTAAATGTGGCTTGAACTATACTTATTAGAAAATAAAAAATAATAATTTTCTCTCTCGGTGATTAATATTAGAAATTTATGAACGGCGGTGAACTGTATCGCTCTGCACTCATGAATGGAAAATAACTGTTGCACTTGTAAGAATAACGGTTAATATCCTCCCCGCACTTATTATTTTACACCAGGCATAATAGCCCCAAATAACAAATGGATTTAAACGGAATCGTTCGACCAACACTTTAGGGAACAGTGACGGTTTTCTTTTTATTTATTCGGTTTAAAGTTTCTCTTATGTAGACATCTGGTAGTCCATAGCTTCTACAAGAGATAAACCCTTTCTCTGAGCTGTTATAAAGACTAGGGACTGAAACGGCTCTGATTATCGACGGGGGGAAACAAGCGAAAACCTCTATCACCCCCTGGTTAACGCGAAAATGGATGAAGGGTGCGAGTGCCCTCGGATTTAAATCCAATTTGCTTTATTACCCTAACAGGTACTGAGGAAAAAGTATAGATCGAATTCCTTATGTAGACAATAGAAACGGAAATGAACGTTGCAGGGAGAATTATTAGACGGATTTTTAAATAAAGTGCCTACCTTGAATAATTCCTCACAATCGTCTTCGGTACACGAAATCCAAATTACCAAAAATCGGTTTCGACGGCAAAACTACTATCAAGCACAATCTCACAAAAATCGGTCAAAAGGCGAGGAAAAGCGACATGGAAGAGAGCGCTCCCAACGAAAGACGTCTACTTTTATTAAAAGTCGGACTTTTGCCAGAGTGGGGACGCTAGTTCCTACTCCTTTGTTATTAGTTGTTTAAAAAAAAAACGTTGATTGATCGGCATACTGATAAACCTACTAGAATTGAGATTTTAAGACATTATTCAGTTTATTGTGATAACGAAAAGTTTTAAACTACGAGGGCTCTTGCAAATGTTTAAAAGCGGTAATTCTATGGGAATATTAGTTACAGGGGGTCTCGCAAATGTTCATAAACGGAAATTAGTTTTAGAAATTAATTTAGGGAATAAATTAATGGAAATTTAAGTGACTTTGTCACAAACTTAAAATTGTCCTAATAAATGCAAAAGAAAATAATTTTTCTGATTATACTTGAAGAAACAGTATAACGGAACTAAATATAAATACAAAAATCTTTTTTCAACTTAAAAACAAGAATATCATACAGGAAGTATATCTAAACTCTCCAATGTATCAAATGCTAAAGATTTTTGGTTGACTATTAAGCAGTGTTACA